TTTTTAGCTACCGCATCTCACTGTTGACTCATGTTCAACTTGTGGTCTAGTAGGACTCCTAGATCCCTTTCACACGTAGTCTTGTTAAGCCAGGTGTCCTCCATCTTATATCTATGCATTTCATTTTTTTTGCCCTAAGTCAGCGGTTCTCAAATAGTGGGGCGGGCCCCCCATGGGGGGCGCGAGGCTCCGTAAAGGGGGGCCCATTACAGCTGGAGAGAGGGAGATTGTCCCAGCGCAGCCCCAGTAGCAGCCCGACGTGCTCCATCCTGATTGGTCAAACCCACCCATGTGACTATTTACAGTCGTGCGGGGGGGCGCGAAATGTTTTCTTCTTTCCTGGGGGGGGCATGACAGAAAATAACGGAGAAGCACTGCCCTAAGTGAAGTACTTTACATTTCTCCATGTTGAAATTCATTTTGTTAGCTTTGGCCCAGCTTTCTACTCGATTAAATTCATTTTGAATTTTCATCCTGTTCTCTGGGGTATTAGCTATTCCTCCTAATTTGGTGTCATCTGCAAATTTGAAAAGCATGCCCCCTATTCTTCATCCAAGTCATTCACATTCATAGCTGCAGGTAAATTAGAAAACCTTCAGTTACATGGTGGCTGAAACACTCTTTACAAATGTTTGTACAGCCCTCCACTTCTGTCACAATGTTAGTTCATGGCAACTTGACTATAAAACATTACACCTCTTTCTCTTCTCTCTCTCACTGAAGTATCACCTTGCATTTTGGAATGATGGTTTCTGTGGACAAGTCCTTTTATATCAACACCACTTGAATCTCCCTTTTTAGACTCTCTCGCTAAAGGCCTGGTTAAAAACACAGCAGTCACTTGTGGTTTGAACTCAAGATCCATCGAAAGCTGCATGGTTTTCAGTTTTAACTCACGGTTAAAACTCAAGGCAGAATATGTGAAACTTCTGTACTGCCAGCTATACCAATAGCAAACCAGCTAAGGTCAACACTCTTGTGCTTTTAGCAGGAAACAAGAAAAGCCCTCTTTGGTGGTCTAAGCCAAGGACCAATTTATCTTGCATGCTCTTTCCAATTGTGGCTAATAAGATGTCTCTGGGAAATGCAGAAGCAAGATATAAAGGCCACAAACCCTCCCTGTGGTGTGCCTCCTATGGATGTGGTGAGATATACTGCCACTGAACATGGGATTCAATTTAACGATCTCTCCTTATATCACGTAATTATCCTGTCCTCCATGAACTTCTTTAATTCTTTTCAAAGCTGTCTTTCCATTATCACAGTCATGATTTTATATTGTGGTAGATAATTCCATATGTTTATTCTAGCTTCCTTTTTTTTAACTGTGTGACATGAGGATCTCTGAAGGAAACAGCAAGCCAATGCATGTGAGTATTTCCACACCCAGCTATGGAAAGCTCCAAAGTGCATCTATGTGTATAGACTTTTCCTTGCAGATTTCTGTACCATCCCCAAAGAAAGGACTTAATAAAACTGCACAGGCTTTTAAAATCATGTTATCATGGAAAATTATGGGAAACATTCATAATTCTCCTGATTTGGCAGTAACAACCCTAATTAATCTTTTCTCACCCCACTTTTTAAGCTGCTTTTGAAATGTCCTAGTTTCTCTCTCTTCTTTCTACGTTCTCCCTTTGTCTTCAGCATACTTCAATTGCTGCAAACTGAGTTCAAAGTGCAACGTAGTTTGTACTCCATTAACTCAGCAGGAGGGAGGGATGGGACAGAGTCTTGTCCTACCCAGTAGGCTCAGGCAAAAGCAAACTGCTGCAGCCTCTCCTAGCTTGTCTGTCCCTCCTCATTCATAACTTTTGGTATCTTAAACATACTCTGATGTTGTTGGCCATACATATCCCAGTTTTTATCTTTGTGGTGTCGAAGAGTATGGCACATGTGTGCACTGGTATGTACAAAAGAGCAAGATGATGATGATGATGATAATAATGATGATGATGATGATTTGTATCCTGCTTTTCCCCCAAAATTGGGACTCAAAGTAGCTTCAATTTAAAAGAACAGTACAATTAAAAACATAGAAAAGTGATGCATTAAAATAGAATTAAAGTATTGCAATATTAAAACAGATTACTCATTAAAAGTATAAAACACAGTTTCAAAAGATAAAAGTGTTTAAAACAGCAGACTTTAAAAGAATGCAAGACCTCAGGCCTTTAAAACTTAAAAAAAAGTTTTTTAAGTCTATAAAAACTTTCTGTTTCAAAAACTTGCCTGAATAAAAAGGTTTTAGCCTGCCAACAGTAGGACAAAGAGGGGGCCTCCCTGGGAAGGGAGTTCCAGAACCTGGGGGCAGCCACCAAGGAGGCCCTCTCTCATGCCCCCATCAACCATGCTTGTGATGGTGGTAGGACTGAGGAAAGGGCCTCTCCTGAAGATCTCAGAGCCTGAACCGGCTCATACAGGGAGATACAGGAGCCAGGGAAGGTGAGGGGCAGCTGGACGCTGGACACCCCAACCCCTTTCCGAGGATGTCATCAGAGTGCACATTGTTGCACACGGAGATGTAACTAAGATATAACTGTCCAGGAACATCTCTGTCTTATCTGGATTAAGATTCTTATATCACATAAGGATATAAACCAGTTTACTTGAGCTGGCTTAAAATGAGAAGTGGGCGGCATCCTGATATTATCAGATGCATTTAGCAGCCGAAATCGCTGCCCGGGTGCAATCCAGGTCCATCACCGCTCAGAGGGGTGCTCTGGTGGCCATTTTTTCAAGCTGGAAAACTCTTAGCTTTGAAAAGAAGAACGAGGTGCACCGCTTCCAGCAGCAATGGACCCGAGCTGCACCCAGGTGGTGATTTCAGCAGCTAAATGCATCTGATAATATCATGATGTCGCCCGCTTCTAATTTTAAACCAGCTCAGGTAAACCAGTTTATATCCTTATGCGATAATCTCCTAAGGCAGGGGCCGGCAACCTATAGCCTGCGGGTCGATTCCGGCCCAGGACCCCACACTTACCGGTCCAGGTGGACCCCTGCCGCCGCCTGCCACCGCTGCCGCACGCTTTGGTCACTGCGTGACTGCGCATGCCGCGATCGCCATTTTGTTCTCCAAAATGGTGGCCGTGATGTGTTTGCACATGTGCAGGAGTACTGCGCATGCGCTAACGAGTCATGGCCGCCATTTTGGAGAACAAAATAGCGGCAGCGCACACAGCGGTGGCAGCAGTGGAGGCGGCAGCGGCAGCAGCAGTGGAGGCGGCAGCGGCAGCGTGCACGGGGGGGTCATGCGCAGTGTCGGGGCACGCTGCCATTCCCCCCCTCCCCCGGCCCAGTGAAAGGGATGACTTCGGGGGACCGGCCCTCGGCTCAAAAAAGTTGCTTACCCTTGTCCTAAGGAATAGCATTGGGGATCATACTTGCCTAAAAACTTTGGCCTTTAAACCAAAATGAGTATTCTAGCAATGAGGAAATCCATTTTTTAAAGTTTCTTCTTACATATTCTAGGGCTTAACCCTGTTGGATGTTCAGTTCAAATGAAGCCTCTTTTGTGCAACATCAGAATAATATTATTTCTTACAAGTTTGTTTTCTTTTCTCTAATTAGCAGAGCAATTTAAGGCCTATATTGTAAGGATCTGGGGTTTGAAAAGCCTATCATTTTTCATTGGTGTGCTATACTTTTAATGATGGCATTGCAGGAAGAATTCAGTAGTTAACAACATTCTCCATTTTGATTTTTAAGAAAGAGCAGCACCTGTTCAATTTCTGCCTAACAAGAAAATAAAGCTGGGGGAGGCAACAATCTTAGGTCTGTCTCAAGTTTAAGTTCTCATCAGTTTTCGGTGTTCTTTTGAGCTTTTACAACACTATGAATCCAGACTAAATATAAGAAGACTGTCAATGGAAGATAGAGGGCTTTTCTTTCACCTCTTCATACTCTACTTTGATAATCTTCATGCACCTTCTTGACTCATACACTTTGTTCTCACTGGAAATCTTACCCACCAGGAAAAAGAAGAGTGAGTAGTTATGAGTCAGATCACAGCAATTGTGGTGATGCTTGAAGTTTTATCATGTGATTTAGAAAAATACAAGGACCTTCTCATCATGAACTGGGTATGTATTTACAAAGCTAGATCTATGGATGAGAGAGCTTGGAGTTAACTGATTTCAAAGAACTAGCTACTTGTAATTCATTCTTTTTAAGAACAAATGAGAGGCAACTATAATTGTAACCTTAAACTTGAAGACATGAGAGGAAAGTGTCAAGCTAGGAGGGGGCTTTATGTTTGTATTGTTTTGGGTTTTGCCTTGGCAGCGTTCTGGGCAATGAGTGCTGAGGTATAGTGAGAATTGTGAGAATTTAAATGTAAATTTGTTTTATTAAAAATAGTCAAGTCAGCAAAGCTTGAACAACTAATCACAAATAACTAGGGGGTTGTAATTAAGCTCTTGCCCCAATAATGAAGGTATATGTAAATCATATTGTGACTTTAATTCAGAGAAAATAACTTCACACCTTTTGGATGCATAACTGTAAATGCTTAGATGCTTTTGTAATTACAGGGATGTGTGGCCTCATTGAATGGTGGGAGGTGAGTGTCTCGGGGTTCAAGTGGTGACTTGCACTGCTGCCTTGTGCTCTGTTGTGGGTTTTGAGGTGATGACAAGGTTGATGGTTGGGGGGGGGGGCTACGGCAGGCCAGTAGCTTGCAGCATTCATATTTGAATGTGTTACTTTTGAGAAACAAAAATGTAAACATTTTTTGTAATTGTAGGTAACTACTTCAGAGCCTTGATACTATAACTGGAAGTAATATTTTTGAAGGTCATTTCAAAAGGATGGGGGGGGGGACGGGACAGTTTTTTAAAAACCCATTTGGGGTGGGAAGTTTATTTATTGTTTAAACCAGGTGTTTGTTTTCTTGTTTGTTTTTGCATTAGTGTTTTATTAGTTATTCCTGCTTCAGGTACCAAATTTTCTGTTAAAGCAGTGATGCCCAGAAATTCATTAACTGAGGTGCACCTTGTGGAGAAAGCTCAGTGTTTGGGTGTTGGACTACAACTCTGGAGACCAGGGTTCGATTCCCAGCTTGGCCGTGGAACCCACTGGATGACCTTGGGCAAGTCACATGCTCTCAGCCTCAAGGGAAGGCAATAGCAAACTTCCAGGGAACCCATCTTGCCAAGAAAACCCCATCATAGGTTCACCTTAGGATTGCCATAAGTCAGAAACAATTTGAAGGCACACAACAGCAACAGCAACAACAAATCCATGGACTGTAGCCCATTCCTTGCCCACTTCATGAGAGGCATGATCTTTCGTGGTGGTGGTGGTAAAAATCCCTGATAGGTTTGCCTTAGGGTTGCCTTAGGAAAATGACACAACACACACACCTGTATTGTGGCCTTCAAGTCCTTATCACCTTAACACATGTTCCACCTTTGAAGGGCCCGCAGCAACATGCTTCTATTGAACCCCCTCCTATGTTGATGGATACCTGGAGGACTTATTTTGCATTGGGTGGCAACAGCAGCACTCTCTAATCAGTACTTAATACTGCCCTTTTGAATTTGTCCCAGTGTCTTCAACATATATCATCATTCCATATTCAGCACATAAATAACCTACGGTAAGTAAATGCCTTTGCAGACTGCCAGAAATAGTGCAAATTGAGTCCATTTTAAGGGTTAGGGTTACGGTTAGGGTTAGGGTTAGAGTTAGGGAATCATGGGAACTGTATTTTATTGTGGCACCAGAGCTCTCTGACAGAGAAGGCTCAATGTCTCAGAAAAACAACAACAATTCCCATGATTCCCTAGCACTAATCCTAACCCTTAAAGTGGACTCAATTTGCACTATTTCTGGCAGCCTGCAAAGGCCCATGTGCACCAGCACATAACATCAATTTTTCTTATTCAGGAAATGCCTTGTTATCTCCCATCGCTGATCAGAGATTAATGTGGGGCTTCCCTGCACTATGCCAAAGAAAGCCTGTCCATCAGTTCTAAGCAAGGAAATCCTGACTCTTATCTCTAATCACTGATTGGAGATAAAAGCAGGGGATTCCCATACAGTATTGGTAGAAGTAGAGGGAGAACTTGCAAGAGAGGTTTGTGGGACAGAAGAGGAACCTCATGAGCTGAAATGTGTCCCTTCTCCATCTTAATGGCTGAGTATATTGCATGACATTATTTTTAGAAGTAATTACCAGTTTGAGGTAACAGCACCTGCGGTAGCTCCTCCACACCTTATATGTTTATTTTGCCCCATCCTAAAGGTGCAGAGTTCATTATCGGGGAGCACTATTCCCCAAATTACTTTTAAAAACTGTATTTCTCAGAATCTCTTGGCCAGCATGGGCCAACTCCTATTTACCTTTGAACCACATTTTGTGTACTATAACTCACAGAATCCTCTAATCATCATGAGCAGTTTATGGCTGAAAAGTAACTTTTCCATGCTTTAAGGAACACTCTCACAGTATGAAATATTGCAATTGCAATTATTGATGGAGAATGTAGAACATTGTGTGGGAATAACATTACAATAAGATTATATCCAGATATAGTCAAATTGAATGCCCACACTGAAAACAACTGGACTTACATTAGATGTGATTAACTTATATCCAATAGTTTTCAACACATCTAACAAGTCTGCCTCATTATTTCTGTAATATACACATATTTTATAGTGCATGTTTATTCCATTTTTTTCCCACAACAGTTTGCATTTTTTTTGAAAAACAAAAAAACCATAATTCAGCAATTCATATACATTTTTGGAAGCACGTTTCCATAATACACTCATTTGTTGCCAGTGCTTTCCTTTAATGCATGTCTTTTGTTTGCAATTTTCCCTCAGGGTATGCATTTTTACACTCAGTTTTCCCTTTGTGGACACATTGTTTTTTGTCAATGAACAGTTCCATAGAGTTCAATAGAGTTCTCAGCAGACATCTATAGCATTATACTTTCAGAGTTACTTATTTTAAGAGGGTTTCACCCAAAATCCTTTTAAAAGGGGCAGCCTGATATCACATCCTTCATGGTCTCAGAGTAAATGCCTCATCTTTTCACACTCACAAGACACAAATTTTGCCTCTCCTTCTTTTGCACATATTTTGATCAGGAAGCCTTATTATAAACCTGCTTCTGCCAAGTGGGCAAATGATTCTACAGCACTTCTCATTGTGGGTTCTTCCCTTTTTCTTCTAAAAAAGTAGAGATCAGCTTCTGGCAAGGCTGCTTTGCCACAACCTCTCGGAAGAGTGGGTTATCTCCTTCACATCATCTGATCAGGCCTTTGTGCGGGTTTGTTTTTTGCTCTTCAAGCCACAAAAGATCTCTAGAATCAATTTGAGCAAAAACCGGGGGATGGGAGGAGGGAGCTGGGAAAAGATAGTGGTGAGAGCACACTAGAAGACAGCCTCAAGGGCAGGCTACATGATTTCCACAGTGGCATCTAACAGAGCCTTGTGAATCAATAAATAGTGTTGAGAAGGTCCAAGGCAAGTTAGGGATTCATAGTCCCTAAAGTAATTTCGGCCAAACATTTTTGGCTTTGAATGAAGCAATGAGATTGGGATGACATCCTTCATTCTCCTACACCCAACTACTTTTGTGCTCAAAATTAGCTCTTTAAACCTGGCTACGAAAGAATTGCTTATGTATGAACTCTGGGGAGGATTGTCTCTCATTATATAAATAAAAATCCTAATAGACAGAACTGTAGATTTTTTTAAAAGGGATGTATGCAGTATTCTGATGCCATGTCCCTAGTCTGTCTGGAAGGAAGTATCCATACCCTGCAGTTCTCCCAATTTGGCAGGGACATTCCCAATTATTCCTCTGTTGTACCACTTTTCCATCTGCTTTTAAAATGCCCCAGTTTCTCTCTCCTCCTCCCATTGCCCTCCTTTGGCCTCTGCTTATTTTGTTTGCTGCAAATTGAGTTCAAATGGCAAAAGTAGTTTAGCTCAGAAGGGAGGAGAGGTGGGACAGAATCTAGCCCTTCCCAGTAGGTTAAGGCAAAAACAAACTATAGCAGCCTCTCCTACCTTGTACATTGTTTTCTTGTTAATTACTTTTTGTCATCTTGACCACACTCTGATGTTACTTGGTTATGTTGTCTTGGTTTTCAGCTGTGAAATGTTGGAGAGTAGAAAGTATTTCTGAGCCAGCAAGGTATAGTGCATTGGACTACAACTCTGGAGATCAGCATTCAATCCCCTATTTGAGCATAAAAACCTTGGACAATTCACATTCTCTCAGCCTCTGAGGATAGCAATGGCAAACCCCCTCTAAAGAAACTTGCCAAGAAAACCCCATGATAGGTTCCCCTTCAGTTGGAAATGACTTGAAGGCCCACAACAACCATAAGGAAGTATCTCTAAGTAGAAGCCCTAGTATCTTGTACCAAAAATTTTGCTGCTTGAGACAAAGTCCCAGATGTGCCTCCCAAATAACTGACATCCTACATCAATGCTGGTGGTGGAATAGCATCTTTCACTACCACTGAACACAGCAGACCATGCAACACCCAAAGGCCTGTCTGCCACCCTTCTCTCTCACTATCTTGCCATACTTCATGTCATGGATTAGTGTAAGTTGTACAGTGATTTCAGAAAATCACTCTGTGATTGGGTGATTAGAGACTCTCTAAAGTATTAAGTATAAGTGTATAAGTCTAGAAACAGATGTAAGTACCTGTGTTTTTCCTCAGTTCCTTGAACATAATGTGATTGATGATGCTTTGCTTTTCATGGTTTTGTTAGCACAAAGGGAAAATTGAGTCCATACGCTGAAGGCTGCCAGCTAGGAAACTAAGGGCCGAGGCAGACAGCCCATTTGGGGCTGCTCTGGATTTCACCAACCACACACCACAGCCCAGATTCTCCTCTTTGCCACCCCTTGAGCCACCACAGCAGCTCTTTTGTGCCCTTTTGGCACAGTGTGTGTGCACAGTGCACCAAGAGGGCACCCTGATGCTGCACACCGTGTGGATGGGTGTGCGATGTTAGGGCAGAGTTGGGGCAGAATTGGGTGGCTGGTGTGCAGTTGCCCCACCCCAACTCCACCCTCAGGCCGGCCCTTTAGGCCGGTCTGCATCCCCCCTGAGTCAGCCTTTCCTCTTTAACCCATGGCATGCACCTGAGACTTTTACAGTCTGAGGCAAATTCTCCCTGACAATCCCCTCCAAAATGCCATGCATGATAAACAAACTACATCAGAATACATTTTTACTCATACAGTCCCAAGTGTTTTCATTGAGTACAATTCTTTATCCCAAGGCCCAGCCTACCTGTTAGTCTCTCGTGAATTTCTACAGCTAATGCCTTTGTGAGTAAATCTTCAATGTTTTCTTCTGAAGCGCAGTATTGCAGTTTTATGATTCCACCTTGTATCAGCTCATGCACATTCTGATACCTTAGTCCAGGAATAGGCAACCTTTTTGAGCCGGGGGCCGGGTTACTGTCCCTCA